CTAGCTGCTTTCTGCAAGTTTAATTTGATCAGTTGGGCATAGCCATGACAGGCAATGCCCCTGGTGTTTCCTAGGAAAAGGTGACAAAAGCTCTGGTGTCTGTGACAGGAGTTAGATAAAAAAAGCCATTGCTCCGTCACTATATTTATATTTATTTATATTATAATATTTATGTTATTATTTCTATTAGTACTATACCGGTAAATACAATGGCATTACTGCTAAAACAAGTGTGAGAAATGAGAGTCCACCGTGAGCTAAGGGCTGCACAGGGCTGCCCAGAGAGGCAGGAAAGTGGGGCCTCAAAATGTGCCTGAGAAATAAGCGAGCCTGTTTCCTGTCCCCAGCCCCTTGGAGTGTGATCCTCAGAGGCCAAAAGGAAGTCAAAACCGAAAGCGGTCTCTCTCTCTGCAGGATGTTCCAGAAGTGCGGCTGAAAGGGGAAGAAACTAAGTCAGGGGCTGTGCAGAGCTCTGCATGAAACACACAGCCGCATGTCAGCAGGGAGGGTGTGGGGCCGCCCCGGACTCTTGAAAGGCTGGTGTTCTAAGGCGCTTGCAAGCCGATTATCTGGAATTCTGTATTGTCCCATGGAAGTGCAGTTGCAAATGGTGGCTCAGCTCATAAAAGCCCGTTTTCCTCATCACACCTCTGTGTATGGTACTAGTCTGGTGACACTCCGGGACCTAACCGTGTCCCCTGGGGAAATGCAGCATTCCAGGCTGGGACCTCTGGGCCCAAAATCTCCGTAGTGGGTCCTCTTTTGGTCTGCTGGGCACTGCTGTAGGGACCTCCCCAGCTCTGAGCCTTGGTGATAGCACCTTTGTCCAACCAGGGGGAGCTGGGAGCCCGTCTAGTGGGTCAAGACGGATACTGACATGAGGCAGATCTCTAGGACTAGTTGTTGAGCTTGGAGAACGGCCCGCCACCTCGCCTGCCGCTGCGGCTGTGCTCGCCTCTGCTGCCAAACGGAAGTTCTTTCCTGCTTTCGCTGCCACGTGGTTAGCGTTGGTGGCTGGTGCCTTCGGGGTGCGCGGTAAGCGTTTCTGGTATAAAATTATCAGTCTTCCGCATTGTCCTTACCACAAGCCATGATTGATGTATATTTCTGTCTGGGATGTCAGCGCCCATGTAGAAGCCAGTGGGTTAAACGTAGCCAGGCAGAATTGAATGACTGAGCTGGAAATGCAGAGCAGGACGCCAGCACCCACCACCACGAAGGTCATTGCTGGTGGTCATCAGGCTATGAACAGAGTGGGGCCCTTGTCTCTTGGCCCCCCTGCGCTATCGTTATTGATTTGTTTACTTTGTAGAGCTAAGATCTCACTCGCCCAGGCTGGAGTGCAGTGGTGCGATCATGGCTCTCTGCAGCCTTGACCTCCTGAGCTCAAGCGATCCTCCCACCCCAGCCTCCGGCGTAGCTGGGATTGTAGATACTCAGGCTGCCACACCCAGCTAATTGTTGTAGAGACGAGGTCTCACTACATTGCCTAGGCTGGGCTCCAGACATTCTCTCACCCTGGCCTCCTGAAGTGCTGGGATCACAGGCATAAGCCCCCACACCTCCGAGCTTTCTGATCATATTCTCACTGATCCTCGTGAGCAAGGCACCCGAGCCCCTGCACCCTGATCTCAGGACCAGGCTGCTGGGGTTTTGAGTATTGGAAGGACAGAAGTCAGCCCTGCCTGCCTTTCAGATGGGCATCCAGGCTCAGCGTGCCCACTTGTCTGCTTGCTCGTGTCTCTAGCTGCCTGGGTGTCATCTTGATGCAGTGTGCTAAGGTGAAGAGGCTTGGACTTGGCCTTTGTAAGGAAGTAGAGAGAGGGTGGGAACATAGGACACGTACAAAGGAGGAGACCTGCCCTACAACTGGCCGTGCTCTCTCCCACCCCGGCAGCCGTTCTGCCCCAGACTGCGTCCTGAGCCCGTGAGAGGCAGGGCCTGGAGTGAGGTGTTCAGGTGTGCCAAGGGCCAGGCGGTAGTGTGAGGGGCACCCCGACTTAGGAAGGCGAGGCCTGGATTCGGGTCCTGCCTTCACTGTCTCCCCAGGCACAGACAAAACAGACTTTGCTTACCCTCTCGGGTCCTCTTCAGAAGATGGGGCAGGGACATCGGGCCTCCCTGCCAGGTGTGACGTTCCGATCAGGGTCTGTGGGACTGCTCTTTGAGCTGCCTGAGACGCCACCATTTGTCAGATTTGCCTAGAGCCCGTGGTGGCCTTCCAGAGGACAAGCTCTGAGCTGAGAGTGGGAAGGAAGATCTGGCTTCTTTTCCAGGCTCTGCCACACTTCACTCCTTTGAGCCTCAGAACCCTCATTTAAAAATGGGGACGTGAATGCCCGTCCTGGCAGCCACACCTGGCTGGTGTGAGGGTCGCGTGGGTGATGCATGTGAGGACAGAGAGTGCAGTCCATGCTTGTCTCACACTTGGACACTGGCTCTGGACAGGCCTCACTCCCTGGTGGGGGTCTGCTGCTGTTTGAAATTTGGTGACAGGTACTGCCTGCCCACCAGGGGTCAAACGAGTGGCACTAATGAGCCACCCCCGAGTCACAAAGGAAGTGCAGCTTCGGAGGGAAAGATTGAGCAGGTGTGCCCGCAAGTGTTGGGGACAGCAGCAGGGTGCTCCAGAGAGGAGCGTGCAGGCCTTCCAGATGCCCAGCCAGGACCCACTCACTGCTCGGGAGCTCAGGAGGGGTGGCTGGCGCCTGGGGTACAGGTGTGCTTTGAGAAGTGGTAAATTACAGCACCTGTTAGCAACAGATGGAACCCCATTACCCTGACGTTAAAGAAAACCAGAAAACTTCCATTTGCAGTAAGCTTGACAGCACCTTTGTTCTTAGCACCAGTGAGCCGAATCTGCTGTTTCTCACATCTCTCTAAAAGGCAAAGAATTGGCTATCAAACCAGACCCGGCCCCTAGCATGCTCAGGCCAGGCTGTAGGCGGGTGGAACTCCCCTGTGTTTGATCGGTCTTTCCCTTGCACTTCTTATTTTTAAAATTGTATTGATGGAGCATCTTTTCTGATGACACAAGTAGCACTGCTCGCTGTGGAAGCGGCGGAGCGCAGGGAAGTCCGGAGGCGATGACCCCGTGGCGGGCGCACTGGCGCTCACACGCTCCTGCCTCTTGCTAGGAGAAGCCTTTTCGCTTCTTTCAAATGCCTGCCTTACCTGATGCCCCTCTCTCTCATTTCATTTCCTAATTTCTGTTCTCGGCCTTCTGTGATATTGTCTGCTGTGTCGGGAAGGGCGTGTGAGGACGTGGCCTCCATAAAAAGAGCTGAAAGCTGTGTTTTGTGCTGTCCGGAAAGCAGAAGCACGTGTTGTGCTGTACACCCCTGCGGGCGCCTGCCACTTCCTTTTAGATGTGTTTTGGTTGTGTATCACAGGGGCGCTGTTGCGCTCCACAACATGGCCTAGTCACCTGTGACACCAGTCCCAGGAGGTGGCAGGGAGTGTTCACTGGCGTATTTGATGGGAGTCATCCCGGTGGTCCAAGCCTCAACACAAGACTCGACGCTTTGAAGCTGAGGTTTACTGTGGATGGGCTGCAAGGCAGAGAGTATTGTTGAGGAAAGAAACCCTCCTCGTGTGCCCATGCGGTCAGCTGGCCATTCCATGTGTGTTTAGCACACTGGGTATAAACAGCACTGGACATGCATGCACACTGCCCCTGGCTTTGGCTTTGAAGTTGTACCCAGTGCAGATTCCGTGTGCCCGAAGCACTGTGCACACACTGGAAGGACTCAGACAGAACCCTGCCTTCGTGCAGCAGCACCGCTGAGTGGCCTCTGAGCCAGCCGTTTGTCTTGTTGACCTTCCGTTGAGTCAAACAAGGTCATTTCTTCAACCCTGTTCTCTCTATACACCACACACTGCCCTCCCCACGGGCCGAGGCCCGGTGTCTTCCTGGGCTCTGTCGTCCCTGTGTGTGCTCTGTGGTTCTGTGATGGTCCCTTGCCAAGCTCCTCTCCCTCATCCTTGAGTCGCCGTCAGACCCCGGATCTAGAGATGTCTCTGCACACTGTCTCCCAGTGCCCGCCAGCCTCCTCCCAGCATCGCTCCTGTAAGTTTTGGCGTGTCCTGTCCGCTCACCCCTTTGGTCTCACAGTCCAGAGCGTGATAGCCCATGGCTGTGGCATGGGGTCCCTGCACAGCCATGAAGGGCCAGAAGGAAAGGAGGTGGTTGGCTCTCCCCATGCCTGGGGGAGAGAGGAGACAGTGACGCGGACGGGTGGAAGTCACCTCTGTGTGTGTACATTTCCCCAAAATTGTCCTGGCTCAGAACTCGAAGCAGCGCAGATGCAGGAGTCCCAAAAGCCCGTTGTAGGGTTGGGTGCTGTCCCCACAGACTCAGAGGCCCCTCCTTGCCCTGCGCTTGTCAACACCAGCTTTGCCTCGAGCACGTGCCTGTGCTTAGAACTATCTCAGAGGATTCCACGAGGGCCTGGGAGGTGACCCCAGGTTGTCACCTGGAAGCCATGTTGGCCACTTATTCAATACAGTCTGTCCCAGAGCCATGCAGACCTGTCCAGGGGCTTTGAGGAGGGGCCTAAGGCCCCAGAGGCCACTGTATGACAACCCAGAGGCCACTGCCCTCCCAGGAAGGAGTTGAGGCAGGAGGGCCCTGTGGCCCGAGGCCGCCGTCACGTAGGACACACGTCGTCCCTCTCGGAGGAATCCACACTGCTGCTCTGAGCCCCTCGCCCCCTCTGTGACGATGCCCAGAGCTGGGTCTGCTCCTGTTCGGTTCCGTGCTGAAAAAGGGACTTAATTCATTTGTAGACTTTGTTCCCTTGTTTCTGCTTCTCCATTTCTTGTATTTTTTCTTTTCCTCTTGTTGGTCCTTTCTCACTTTTTATGCTTTTTGTCCTCTGCTTGTTTTTATTCCACCTTCTCCCTGTCCCTCTCCACGTCCAAATTCCTGCTCCTCTTCCCTCTTCCTTTTTGTCTCTCTCCGCCTCCTCCTCCTCTTCCTTGTTCGGTCCCTTTTGAAGTTGAGCCCAGTGGCGGGACTCCGCGGCGTAGACCTCTCTCCTTCTGCCCTTGCTGTGTCCAGGAAGGTAACGTAACCTCGCCAACCCCACCCACTGCCTCAGGGGGCGCAGCAACACTAGGCAAATACGAGCCAGCACCCACCTACCCCCCCCCTTCTCTCTCTCTCTCTCTCTCTCTCTCTCTCTCTGACCCTCAACAGTCTTGTCACAAAATGTCATGAGTCTGTGGCAGTTTCTAAAGGTACAGTATCCCTTTGACTGCCCGAGGGGAGGAGCAGGGTGCAGAGTGAAGCCAGGGAGCCTCCAGGTCTGGGTGTTGCAGGGCTGCAGCATTGCCTGGCCCTTCGCAGTTGGGGCCTTTAGGTCTCACGTCCATCAGCTAGAGGGGCAGGGATGCAGGTGAGGAGCCCCCACCTGTGCACAGCGATTTGGTTGGCAGAGTCAAGGAATACTGTCCTTACAAAGGCGGGTCTGCTCGAGTGCCCTCGGGTCCCTTCCCAGAACAACCACTGAAGGCAGACCTCTCTACCTTGTGTCTTGCTGAGTGTGTGTTTTTTCAGTTTGTCTGATTTGAAGTCTGTTGTGGTGATAAGATTGTCGTTGAAAGGCATGTGGGGGGCGTGGCGATGACTAACCCTGCTAACTGTTACCTGCCGTCCGCGGCACTCACCCGACTCCCACGCACAGCACCCCCCGCCCGGCGGCTGTGGGCGAGCTCTCTGTAGCTAGTGAGCGGTGTTCGCACGTCTCTGGTGGCGTTTTCTGTGTCTTCGCGGGGAGGTGGGCAACGGGGGAGAGTCCCTGGTGCCGCCGCGGCTGGGCGCACTGGACAGCTTGCATGCCTCGGGCCCCTCCTCCACAGCCATGTGGGCACATTGTGCAGAGACGCTCCGGAAGCAATGCGTGGAACTGAGTGGGGACCCGAGCCTATTGGATTGGGTGAAGAGAGCGCTGGGCCCCTGACCCTCAGGCCCAGGCACGCACACTCCACAGTCACAGGCTGGACAGGCCAGGGAGCTTCCGTCCGTCAGAGCAGGGCTCAGGGGCAGGACCCCGCTTGGGAGCGGAGCTGCGTGTGCACTAGGGCACGGTGCAGACACCCTGCTTGTGTGAACACGGTGCATTTCTGCCGCCTTGGTGTGGCCACTGGGTGGAGACTAACTGGCCTAGGCCTCGTGTCGAGCAGACCCCACTGCAGAAAGTCTGTGAACCATGTGTCAGGAAGGCAGGTGGAGCCATGCAGCCAGCAGCGAGGGGGGACTCGGGCTGCGTCCGGCCATCCCAGGCTGTGCACCTCGCACTCCTGGGCTTGTCTTAACTGGGCTAGAATGCCCCCTGCCAGCGACGCAGAGAGTGGAAGGGACTCTCAAAGATGTCCCCATCTAGTGGCCCCTCAACCTGAGGCCCAGGGATGGACTGCAGGAAGCCCAGGAACAGCCTGGTATTCTCCATGAAGTGTTTGCTGTGCATGCATAAGCACTTTTCTAGAAGAGAGGCCCTAGCCTTTATGAGATTCTCAAAGTGGTTTGTAATCCAAAAATACTGCAGAGCCACTGACACAGTGGCTCTTTCAGGCAGGACCACACTTCTGCCATGAGCCTCTGTGCTCTAGAGAAAAGGCCTTGCTCCTTCCTCGGGTGGCGTGGTCCCTTGGAGACGTCTTCCTTCTGTTCTCCTGCCACGGTGAGGCCCAGCCATCAGGCCCTCGTGGGGGAGGTTCGGTATCGGGCACTTTTGGTTCGGCAGCCTGAGCTAGCAGGCAGCCACCAGCCACAGGCATTCTATTGGATTGGCCCAGACCAGGGCGTGGCACCTCCTTACGTCCCCAGAGGCTGCTAGCCTTTCTCTGCTCTTGGTGAGAAATGCGGCGGCCCTCCCGGGATGCGCTGCGTCCACCATGCAGGACCCGGCGGGAGAGCGGCTGGAAGCTTGATGGGCCACAAGGGAAGGGGTGTTGTCTTCTCTACCTGGTCAGGAGGTAAAGAAATGACAAGGCATCCATTCTGGTGGCCCTGGAGACGGGCAGCAGCCGGAAAAGAGCTGAGTTAAATGAGCTTGACTCGAATCGAGGGCAGGGTGCAGTTGACAGATTGACATTGGCCTTGTTTACGACACTGGTGTCCTCCAAGAATACCTAGTAGTCAGCAGGTGCCCAATAAACACTGAGTGGGAAAGAGAGGGAAAGTCCCCCCAAGAGAGCACACAGAGCAGGAAGGCAGAAGCCAGCCCCGAGGAGGGCACGGGCCCCACTGGCGAGGTCACTGACGGGGTGAGCAGGGATGGCAGGACACGGGGAAGCACAGGCCCCTGCCCCGGGGAGGGGTCGCCAGGGCCCCATGGCTGCAGGCAAACCTTGGGCCTGGCTTGGGAGTGGAAGTTCCGGCAGCATCTTGCTCGGCCCTCTTTGCACATTTGCCCCGTGTGACTCCTGCGGGCCCGGGTGGGTGCGGCCCTCCCTGCGCCCAACACGAACGTTCTTTCGGCAGGCATGGGCAAGAAGGACGACCCCAAGCTGATGCAGGAGTGGTTCAAGCTCGTGCAGGAGAAGAACGCCATGGTGCGCTACGAGTCAGAGCTGATGATCTTGTGAGTGGCCTCGGGTAGGGGGTATCGGCGCCACGCTTGTCACAGCAGACATGGAGGTCCTTCTGGATTTGGGGGTGAGGGGTGGTCCCCAATCGCTGTGGCTTATCTCTCTCCTGCCCTGCCTTCTCAGTGCCCGGGAGCTGGAGCTGGAAGACCGACAGAGCCGACTACAGCAGGAGCTCCGGGAGCGCATGGCAGTGGAAGGTGAGTGGGCTGAGGTGCCCGTGGAGGCCGGGGTGGGCACCGCCTCCTGGGCCCTCACCTCGCCTTCTGCTCCTTCCAGATCACCTTAAGACCGAGGAGGAACTGTCAGAAGAGAAGCAGATTCTCAATGAGATGCTGGAGGTGGTGGAGCAGAGAGACTCACTGGTGGCGCTGCTGGAGGAGCAGCGGCTCCGGGAGAGAGCGGAGGACAAGGATCTGGAGGCCGCCATGCTGTCCAAGGGCTTCAGCCTGAACTGGTCCTGAGCTCCCACCCAGCGCTCCGTTTGCCGTTGGCATCCGCCTGGCCGGTCAGTGGCCTCCAAACCACCTGGAGACGCAATCTGAGGAGGCCTGGCACCTCCTTGGAGTTGACGCTCAGTGCCGTGTGCTGCTTGGAAAGTGGCCGAGTCCCGTGAGCGGTGGGAAGCCCCAGGTGACGGTGGTTATCTGAGACGGCTCCACCTCCTGGGAGGAGGCCCACCTGGACCTCCCGCTCGGGGGAGGAGCACAGCCTGCGTGGCCTGACGCAGGGGACCCCACACGCTCCGAGGGCGCGCTGCTGTGCCCCTTTCTTCCACTGGCACATTTGGTAAGAGAGGGAAGCTGCTCCCATCAGAACCACAGCCTGCTGCCACAGCATGGGAGGGGCACTGTCTTCTTCCTGCTTCCTGGAGCGCCACCAAAGAAATGAAGCGATACGCCACGAGAGCAGGGTGCGATCGAGACCCAGGATGGGGAGGTCACCAGCTGTGCCCACCCCAGCATCACAGGAGACATGGAGGTGCATGCAGGCTCCGGGATTGACTATGCAAATTAGGAGGCTGCAGGAGAGGTCTGCCACCCGGCCCAGCACCACGCTGGACCCCAGGTGGCCAAATGCTGGTGCCTCTGGCTGGCTGTGGCCTGAGGCCTGTGGGTTGCTGCATTTCGCTTGTAGTTCACAACCATTCTGACACTGGAAAATGCTGACCTCGGGGGACAGGGTGAGGCCCTCCGTTCTAAGCCCCCGTTGGCAGGCAGCCACTGTCCCTGCTCCACACTCTGTGTCGGGGAGGAGATGACCTTTTCCTCGGTTTTTTCTCCCGTCTTTGCACATTGAGATGAAGCTGACGACCTGGCAGGACGCTCCGCCGCTTCGGACCCCTTCTTTCAATTAACTTATTTTTTTAATACTTGAAAAGAAGTCACTTCATTTGTGTATCTTTGCCAGAGACACTGAGCGCCTGGCGCCCGGGGGTGGGAGCCACAGTGGCGTCTGCTGTGTCCTGTGCGACCCGGCCGGGGGCTGCCCGGCGCTCACCATGTGCATCAGGGAGCTGCCCAGGACCCCAGGCGGGTACTGCTCACAGCTTTCTGTCCCCTCCTCCCCCTGGTGCCTGCCTCACCCTGCGCTAGACCGTACGGACTGCTCACATGATGTGGGCACATTTCCATTCTGTTTTGGTCCAAGCCAGTGGCAGAGCTGCCACTCTCACCCTCCCAATGGGAATCCTGGCTCTGCAGAACCCATCCTTTTCTCAGTGTGGGTGCCAGGGCATCACCTCTCTCCACACGTACATTAAAGAAGGTTTCAGGGTGGGACCGTGGAATCATGTGGCTGGTGAGAATCCCCTCCGCCCAGCCTGAGCTTCACCCAGACAGAAACGCCCATGCTGCAGTGGGTCATGGGGTGTCGGCTGGTGTCTCTTGAGCAGATAAGCGATCCCGCCCTCCCTTCCCGCGGGGGACGGGCACCTGCCTTGTGCCAGATCTTCATGGGGCCATAAAGGGTGGTGAGCCCCGAATCACTAGCTCCTATAGCCAAACCGTTCCTTTCTCATGGTTCCACCCCAGCCTGGCTCTGTACAGCTCATCAAGCCACTGAGATCATCGGGGGTGGGGTGCTTGTCCATCAAAGCAGTTAGCGCATAGCCCAGGAAGGAACCACCAGGCCAGACCCGCCTGCAAGGGGCGCTCCAGCTGCTTGCCACCTCCCGTGGGCTGGGGCCAAGGGGCCGTGCTGACCTTGGGCTTTCCATGGGAACCGCTGTGCCTCAACCTCAACATTCATCCCCAACTGCAAAGGAGCAAAGAACCCATCTCCTCCTCGTCCGTCCGGAAGCTGCGTCTCTCCCGTGCACACCCACGAGGTGCGCTGCGAGTGGCCGCCACCGCTCTGCCTTCTCCACCTCCTGTTCTCAGGGGAGACAAAAGTCTCCCTTTTCTCTTTACTTAAAAACGGAGAGAAGAGCGTTCCAGATTCCATCTTCAAACCCAGTCGTCCCACGAAATTGGGCACGGGAAGGACCTTCACTGCCTGCGTGGTCTTCCCCGGAGCCCTCCTCTCGAAGGCCACAAAACCGGCCCCGCGCCGGCAGAGGCACCCTCGGCCCTTGTGGCTCCTGCTGACCCCCACACAGGGAAGCCGTCTGCGCAGTGGCTCCGAAGGAGCGTGGCCTAGGGGTCCGCTCTAAGTGGCCTGAGGTAGCAGGAGAGCCCAGCGTCACCTTCTGGTTCTGGTCAGCCTTCACCCTGGCATCCTCCGCAGGCCCACGTGCCTGGCCTTCCGCTCCCGGCTGCGAGGACATCGGTTCTTTTTCTTTTTTTTTTTTTGGAGTTTCGCTCTTGTTACCCAGGCTGGAGTGCAATGGCGCGATCTCGGCTCACCGCAACCTCCGCCTCCTGGGCTCAGGCAATTCTCCTGCCTCAGCCTCCTGAGTAGCTGGGATTACAGGCACACGCCACCATGCCCAGCTAATTTTTTGTATTTTTAGTAGAAACGGGGTTTCACCATGTTGACCAGGATGGTCTCGATCTCTTGACCTCGTGATCCACCCGCCTCGGCCTCCCAAAGTGCTGGGATTACAGGCTTGAGCCACCGCGCCCGGCTGGACATCGGTTCTTATAGAGCACTTTTTTAAAGCTCCCGTTTTGTAACCACTAGTTTGCAGCTGGCTTTAGGACTCCGGTGACACAACTGCATGAACTGCTTTCAGACTGTGAGAATGCAGGGCTTCCTGAGAGTTCCGTCTTCTCTGGAGGTCAGGGAAGCAGGATGGATACACAGCTATCACAGACAGAAAAATGCCAGGCTCGAGGCTGGATAACCTGGAGGCTGAGTCCCTGGAGGTGCACATGCAGCTTCCCTGGAGGGCGGCCGGGAGGCGCTCCCGCCCCGCGGCTTACAGGCCCGTCAGATGCTGCCTTCGGGCCCTTCCCTCAGCGGCCATCTGCCGCCGATACTGACCAGCAATGATAGACTCTTCTTAACCCTTTCAAAAGAAGAAATTTTTCAGTGGGGCAGAAAGGAGAGTTTAAAAAAAAAAAATTTTTTTTTAAGGTGGTAACATCTGACCCACAAGGGGATGGGTCTGTTTTACGCGAAATAAAAGTTTTTCAAAGAAATAGCGTGTTTCTTCATTCATCTTGCCATATTTTTCAGGTGGATGGTATAGGCGCAAGGTGTGCCTGGGTGTCTGCAAGTCTGTTCAATGAACTCGGTTTTTTTTAACTTTGTGCTTTTTTTTAGTCCTCCGTAATATCCTGGCTCAGCCACCAGCTGCCGTCACCGTCGTAAATGTCTGAGGCATCCACTCTTCAGACAAAGCCCCGTACCCTCTGGAAGAGGTATGTGATCTTTGAATGGGAGACAGTCCAGGTCAGGGTTATGCTGTGGCCCGGCAGCCCTCCTTCCAGCCCTGCCCGGCTCTGCCCGGCAGCACAGCTGACCCGGGAGCCCATGGCATGGGGGCTGCAGCCTCCTCTCCCAAACCTTTCAGATGTTTCAACAACCTCGGGTTCCTTCAGTGTGTAGGGTCACTCTGTAGCCTGAAACTGTCCCTAGGAGATTGCAGGGAACAGTCCTGGCCAGCTCTTCTTTCTTTGCTCTAAGAAGCTTCCGAGGCATGCTCCAGCTCTCTCTCTAACCCCTCTTCGTGTGTTGCATTGTTGGGAGCATGGCTGGCCCTGTGACCATCCGGAGGTGCCATGTGCGGAGGGAAAGACCACAGCAGCTGTATGCACATGAGCCGCACCACCCACAGGCCAGCTGGAAGTCACTCCATGGAAGCTGGCGAGCTGGCTCCCAGGCCTTCCAGCTGCATTCCCAGCGATTCCAGAACGGAGAAAGGACTGGCTGGGACAGATGTGAGCATGTCAGGTAGAACACAGGACAAAGATGGATGAGTAGCTAGCTCAGAGGGCATATCCTCTGGCCCTAGGGGATGTCCTGTGCCTGCGTGGCCTGGGAGCCTTGCCTTCGGGAGACGGGAGAGCTGGGTCAGCAACCCTTGCCTGTTGTGAAAGGAAGTGGTGCTTGGTAGTCACCTGACCCCCAGGCTCCTGTCCCTCAAGGGCTTGCTTTGTCAGAGCTGTGCCAGGCAGGGTTGGGCTGCAGTTCACGGCCACCCCAGGTGGCAGGAAATGAGTATTGCTTTAGGGAGGACACCAGAGAGGAAGGCTGCGGGCAGGCCAGTGCTGCTGTCAGAGGCACACAGAGGCTGCACGCCGTGGCTCCTGCCTGTAATCCCAGCACTCGGAGAGGCCGCAGTGGGCAGACCACTCCAGGTCAGGAGTTCAAGACCGTTCGCCTGGCCAGGATGGTGAAATCCCGTCTGTACTAAAAAGGCAAATCTTAGCTGGGCATGGTGGTGCACGCATGTCATTCCCGCTGCTCAGGAGGCTGAGGCAAGATAATTGCTTGAACCTGGGAGGTGGAGGCTGCAGTGAGCAGAGATCACACCACTGCACCCTGGGCAACAGTGAGACTCTGCCTTAAAAAAAGGCTGGCCAGGCGCAGTGGCTGAGGTGGGCAGATCACCTGGGGTTGGGAGTTCGAACCACCCTGACCAATATGGAGAAACCCCGTCGCTATTGAAAATACAAAATTGGCCGGGTGTGGTGGTGCACGCCTGTAATCGCAGCTACTGGGGAGGCCAAGGCAGGAGAATCGCTTGAACCCGGGAGGTGGAGGTTGCGATGAACCAAGATCATGTCATTGCACTCCAGCCTGGGCAGCAAGAGCGAAACTTCCACCTCAAAAAAAAAAAAAAACTTAAATATATAGTCTTTATCATTTTTAAATTTTAAAATTATTTTAAAATAAGCACACAAGATGCACTTGTTTCATAAACCGCCACATCTAACAGCTCCCGAGTTCTGCTGAACCCCGAATCCTCACAGAGTCCCATCTTTTTTTTTTTTTTTTTTTTTTTTTTTTGAGACGGAGTTTCACTCTTGTTACCCAGGCTGGAGTGCAATGGCGCGATCTCAGCTCACCGCAACCTCCGCCTCCTGGGTTCAGGCAATTCTCCTGCCTCAGCCTCCTGAGTAGCTGGGATTACAGGCACGCGCCACCATGCCCAGCTAATTTTTTGTATTTTTAGTAGAGACGGGGTTTCACCATGTTGACCGGGATGGTCTTGATCTCTTGACCTCGTGATCCACCCGCCTAGGCCTCCCGAAGTGCTGGGATTACAGGCTTGAGCCACTGCGCCCAGCCCACAGAGTCCCATCTTAAGAGTCGGCCAAAAATGAAGGGACAGGACACACCATCTTATTCCATTGTGTAAGCTGTCACACTGGCTCACGCACTGGACCCCTGCTTCGTGTCCCCGGCTAGGATGGCCCTCCCCAGTGATGCCCGGTGAGGAGGGTGAGAGGCCATGCCAGCCACACACTGCCTGGGAGCCCATCAGACCAGCCCCATGGCCCTCCCGACAGCCTGTGGCTACTCAGCTTCACCAGGAGCTTTTTCAGCAGCACCCTGGTGTGCCCCCCGCCCCAGGCTCTTCCTGCAGCTGGGGCTTTGCTGGGGAAGGCAGAGTCCCGTTGCTGTGGGTAGGCCACGTGTCCCGCAGCCACTGCCTGGAGAAGCCACCTGCTGCCAGGACAGACGAGGGAGACAGTCCGTGTGCTGCACACACAGCCCCTTTTCATGCCCAGGGGCCTCCGAGCCACAGAGTGCACCTCCAGTACTCAAGCAGCCTGGGTTTCAGCCATGGGGCTAGGGTGGGGTGGCCTAGAACTAGGTAGATGGGGCTGAGGGCCTCCCTAGGCCACGGTGAGACTGCCAGTATCGAGTGGTCCCCAAAGTCGGCAGAGACAGCATCCTCCAGACCCAGTAAGTGTGTGTGGAGCCACCTTGACCGCACTGCCGGTGTCTGCCCACCCATGAGAGGGCAGCAGGGAGCACAGGTCAGCAGG